AGAGGAGGGGGCTGAATGGGCAGAGCAGGACTCTTGGGCATGCTGCTTGTTGTAGGGAAGGGATTTACTGTTCTGGGAGACTTGTTTGTAGCAGGTTGCTTGTAGAGTACTGAGTTGCAGAGGAGGGATGAACACAGTGGCAGAAAGAGTTGGTGCTCTGTGTGGAGGCATGTGACAGAGACTGCTGTGATGGTGGGATTCTCCTAAGCTGAGATCTCTGTGGCTGCTTAATTGCATTTCTCAAGGGGTCCCATTTTATATTTTATGCTAATAGGGGAAGGGTCTGCAGTGGTGAAGACATTCAGTTGAGTTTCCTGGCAGAAAGCACTGATGATGAGGCACAACGAGCTCCCGGTCACTGTGGCAGTGGGAGCTGGGGCACAGGTTCCCCAGTTCCCAAGGTGTCAAGGCTTTCTCATTTTCAATAAGGGGTTTCACTGGCCTAGCTCCTTCTGACTTTTTTGAAAGAGATGCTCGCTTTTATATCGGGTAGACTCCATCAAGCACCAGCGATATGGGTGACAGGCAGAAAGTTGACATCCCACTTGCCTCCAACCTCCCTCGGAGCTTTTTGTCCTCATCCCTAGTACGTTTTCCCTCGTGCTACCTCAGGGCTAAACCTCTCTCAAGGCGAACACCAGTTTGTGCTTGAAAGCAAAATAACCTAGTTTTCAGCCATTCGTTTGAATTTTGAATTCTGGTCTTTTGAGAGAAACAGCCACTGTCTAAAATGATGACGTTCATATGCAATGTCAGGAGATTGGACAGAGAGGTGAGCTCCTGTTGTTCTCTGTGGGTTTTAAAAACACAGGAAGAACATGGCTACTCTCTCTTCCATCAAACTGAGTGACCTGCAGGCTTGAGACTGAGAGCGTGAGAGCAATCTATCGGTGATGGTGCAGAACAACTTGTATGTGCTGGAGGGAGTTTTAAATGAAGGCTAATTATTGAGTAACTGTACTAACTAAAAAGTATTTGTGTCCTTTTTCACACTGGCAAAACCACAAACCTGTTGATGTTTCTCTAATGACTAATGTATCATTCTTTACCCTAGCATTTGGCTTTTTTCATTCCCAGGCTTTCAGTAAGTTGCTTAAAATAAGTCTGTAGACTGACTTCAGATAACTGTTGAAGCTAAATTGCTATTGGACTAGCTCTTTTGCTTAAACAAAAAACCATTTGGTGTTCCAAAACAGTGTTTCCAAACTGCCATTGCAGAGTAGCGTTCAACAAATAACCACTGGGAGTGAGTATTTCAGTACGGTTTTGTTTCAGTTTTCCATTTGCTCACACAGTTACGGGGCATGAAGCTGAACGTGGCCAGAGTTATAGGCCTGCCTGTTAACAGCTTCAGCTCTCAATGTCCTACAGGTCCAGGTGCAAGTTGAAATCTAGCTGAATTGTAAATTTAGCTTCTGGTTTTCTTATCATAAAGAACATTTTCCTGCTGTGCAGCCAATCGTGCTTTAGAGGCTTCATCAGAAGAGCTACTAGTACTTCAAGCTACCACTAAATGTTGTTTTCCGTGGGGATTTAGTAACGCAGCTCCTAATGCTCTGCAGACTTTTTGCTGGCTTAGATGCGTTGATCCCTGACCCGGGTATCTGTGCCAACAGAAACTTTCAAGTGCTGATGCAGTTACGGTGAGAAAACTGTACTTCTCCTGTGCTCGCATTGCCCCTGGGATCTGGTTTTACTGGAGTTTCGAAAGCAGTTACTTGCTGGTGCAGTTCTGCCTGTGCTAGGAATGGGTCGCCAGTCTGTCTTCCTGCATTTGTAAGTTGGTTCTTGCACGGGCAGGCCTGCTCCTGCAGCAGGGCAGCCATAGAGCTGAAGCATTCACTGGGCTTTGACGGCCTTATTGCCTGGAAGTTATTGGGACCTGGCTCCCTCTCCTAGGGTCTTCCATGAAAATCAGTCCTGCTCTTCCTCCCAACATCCTCAGCACTGTTCTGCAGTACTTGGTGCAGGCTCTTACTAGAGTCTTGCATTTTTATTTCACTTTTTAAAATCCCATCTCAAACTATTTTTATGGAAAACTTTTGGTCTTTATTTGCATTTGATCGCTTTACTAGCATAGGTCAAACTTACTGGAAGAAAAAAGAAGTTGTGAATTTTCAGAGAATTCACCAGAAGATATTTTGGGGACTAAGATTCAGGTTTCTTGCTGCGTCCTTTGTTGGAAGCTTAGGTTGAGCCTTGTTTAAAGATCCTCCCATGGCTTTCCTGTGCTTGGTGGGTACCATGATTTAAGTTAGTTAGTGGCTAAATGAAAATATTCTTTAGTCAGGCTTATTCTGAATTTATAAAATGTATTAATGCATTTGAAACAGGCAGCTGGTGACTGGCGTGGTGAGGAGATGCAATGTGTGGGTTTTTTTCTTAGTCTTTCTAAGAGACCATATTAACAATGAATTTACACCAGGATGCTGTTCATCCACTAATATTGGCCCAAAGCTCTGTCCTGTTTTGGGATGTGCAGTGCTGCATGGAAATGAACACTTTAATGCCCTGGCTCTTCATGAAGGCTTTAGGCAGGATGGTGTGGTGTAAGCTGCCTGAAAGCAGCAAAGGGCATGGTTAGATGAATTTCTCTTCTGTGGAAAACACCAGCAGCCACTTCAGAAGGAAATGCATCAAGGACCTTGGTTGGAAGGAAATTACTGCACTGATTGTGATGAATTTGATTTCCCTCTCCAGCTAGTAGCTGAAGGACCTCTGACACATAACTCCTATTTTTCCACAGTCACTTTGGAGTGAAGTACCTCTCTGTGTGATAGGGGGAAGGAAGTAAAAGAGCTTGCTGCTATTTCAGGACACTGTGAGGGAAACTTAGCGTGCTTTATTTCCTTTTGAGACTTGTGTTTAAATTAGGAGTCCATCTCCCCTGCCATGGGGCAGGGAGGGAAGGGTTTTTTCCATTACTTTTACAAATAACTGTGGTGTCTCAAGTGCGAAGCTATTTGATGCAGCTGGTGTTCGGGAGGCATAGCCAGCTGTTTGCTGGAGAAATGCACCATTGTTCTACTTATTTCCCATTTTGTATCAGGGATTTTTAGCCACTTCCCAAATGACCACCATTTCTTCACACTAAACCCTCTTCCTTTATTCATAAGACTTCACCTTCCTCAATTTAGTATTCTGTATGTCAGAGTCCTTTCCCCCGTTTCAGCCTAAGACTCCTTCTCCATATACCATGACATGTACAGTTTTATTCATTATTTTGTTCTGTCAGTCATGTCTGGTCTAAGACATTTCCCATAGGTATAAACTGGGTAATTCCAGTTTATTTTTAAAAAAATTATTGAAGTGTAAATGAAAACTGTCTTCACAGTGCTGGATGTTCAATTAATTGGATGCGAACCTTACATTTGAAGGGTGGTGTTTCAGTGCAAAACAGCTCAAAAATACTACTTTAAATAGAAATTTATAAAATATGTAATGTAGAAAAGTTCAGGTAAAAATTCTACTTTTGAGCTAAACAAGGTATTTGTGCATCAACTTCAAAAGGACTCTAGGGCAGTAAAGTGCTGATATAGTTAAGAGACAGCAAACGAACACAAAAGCTTCAGAAATTAAAAATTTCTGATGAAGGAAAACAATGTGAAACCTGCATGTTTGAAAGCCTGAATGTTAAAATTGCTAGTCATTCAGTGATAACTAAAAAGAGAGGACATCTCTATCTTATTAAAAAAAACCAAAAACCCAACCAACCAAAACCCAGCCAACACCAGTAATTTCTTAATGGATATTCTTTGTCTATTTGTTGTAGAGTCACCTATTTTTGAACATTTAAGACTTGTCACTGGTACTAAAGTGCAACACTGCAGACTGCTGAACTCTGTGATGACTTTTGTCACCACGGTACTACTGAAACCTGCAGTATGACTGGCATTATTTCTGGTTTATTGGCTGCTCTCCCTTTTTGGTCTGAATAGGGAAGGGCTTGCTGCTGCATTAGGGACCCTGGAGGGCCGTTGCTCAGCTGTGAAAAATGGAGGTGGCTCCAACCTGCAAGATGGGATGTGAGCATTTTACTTTAGGACTGTTCAGAGTGGGATTTGGATATTGTGAGAGCGTTGTTAAAACCTTCAGGAGAGATGAAGGTGGTCTGTAAATGCAGTGTCTTGGAGAATTTTTTTTGGTCCAGAATAAAAGAGATCACAGCTTATTGGTTAGATAGCTTCTAAGCTGTGCTTGCTTTTCTGGGAAGGTTGTATGTTGTTTTGGAGGAGTCTTTGCTCTCATGGCAAGAACCATATAGTTCACCAGAAGACTCTGTTCTCCCCTGCTTCCATGCAGACACTTGAAAGTGCTTCCCTCAAGCTCAAACTTTGTGTTATTTTGCTGAAAAGAAGCAGCAGTTTCCAAAGGACATAGCAGGGCCTTTATCTGTGTTTTACATGCATTGCAAATTCCCTTGGTTACCTTCGTGTCTGTGTACTGGGGACTTGCTGCACCAGTTGTGTCCCAGCGATAGCAAAGTAGGAGAATGTCCAAAGAATTAGCAGCCACCTTCTCAGAAAACTTGTTTATGCTTTATAGCAACGTACTACATCCAGAACATTTCCTCAGCATGATCAATGGTGCACCAGATAAAAATCCACCCTGACTAAACTCAGGGAGTGCCGTTCTCAATGTATTCTTGACATGCTACAAGCTTGCTATTGCGTTTTCTTTTGTTGTGTTTCTCAGTGATTAAACCTACATCATAAGGTATTTATCTCTCAGCCAGGTGCTTATTTGTAGGCCATCAGCTGTGTGGTTTTTTTGACTATGAACACCATGAGACAGTTCTTTGCAAATTACCTGTTTGGGTGGGAACTGCTGTCTTGGCAGTACTTACTCCAGTGAGGAAATATGTGTCACTGCCAAGTAAAAGGTTGGGAAACATGAACGCTGGAGTAGTGTTTTTTAAAGTCCCGGGATTAGCGTGGTTGATCTTCTAAACGTGAATGTGAGGGTTCCTTTGTGTCTGATCCCAGCTTCTCTTTTTATAGGCACAGCTGGAAGCTCAGAGGGCGACTCAGGATTTTCAGAGGGCCACTGAAGTGCTGCGTGCTGCAAAAGAGACCATTTCACTTGCTGAGCAGAGGCTACTGGAAGATGATAAACGTCAGTTTGACTCTGCCTGGCAAGAGATGCTCAACCATGCTACTCAGAGGGTAATACAAACTTGCCCCAGCACCTGTCTTTTCCATATTTTGTGTTCTCTGGTGGTGTATGAGGCTTAGTTTCTAAAAGACCAAATTTTTATATTGGTCCAGATACATGACATGTAGGAAATGAAGCTACAGAAAATTATGAAGCCTAAGGTTAAATGATTTGGGCCTTGGGCTGCTACTGGGCAAGTATAGTTCTCTATCTGGCTGTGCTAGTAGCCAGCGGAGTAGGTCTCTAAAGTTTTCTTTAACTTTTTAAACTTTTTTTTAATTACCATCTATATAATAGGGATAAACAATGTCTTAAGGCATATCTGCATTTGGAGTTATGCCAGAATAATTGCATAGGGATGGCTATTCCTGAACACACGTGTTATGGAAACTCTTACTCTGGAAAAACAGGGACATGTTCCAATTTTAGTATAACCTGTTCTTAGTATGAAATAAGTTGAACAAGGCACTTCGCTTCAGAAATGTGTGTTTGAATGTAGAACTACTCAAAAATGTATGTTGCATTTTAAGCTTGCACACTGCTCTATCCTGAATTAACTTTCAAATTTAGACAAGATCTTACCTCCTTTGTAAAGTCTTTTTAAATCTACAGAAGAGATGCACTGTCTAACAATGAAAGGCAGTATTAATTTTAGCAGCTGTCAAGAAGAATTTTTCTGTCATTTGCTGTGTCTCTCTTTTCCTGTTTGTTAAAAAAAAAAGGGCAGAAAGTTTTTTTTTTTAACATGAAAGGACCAAAAATCGAAGTTAGAAACCTTTGTTCTGTCAGAGTTCCCTTAATATGCCAGTGAAGCTGAACTTGCTATTCCAAATATGCTAGCGTGCCATATAATGTTCGTATTGTCTTGCAGTCCTCAATGCAGCAGCTCTGTTCTGTTGCAGAAGCTTCTCAGTTATAAGAAAGCCTCTATTTCAGAGTGAATTGTAAAAACCAGCTGCCTAATGAAGAAACAGGGTGTTGGCTGTGTGTAGGGGGGAGATGGAAAACATGGTATATATTAAAAAAGAGAAAACAAACTCCAGGGTCTTGTTTGTGTTATTGTCCCTGTTATCATTAGGTATTTCAGATCTGGTAACCTCTGTGTGTTTCTGAAGGGAGCCCCAACTTTGCAGTGCGTGTGCGCCAGGACACCAGCAGCTGTCATTTTCCCTAGTTGTTATCCCTGTTCAATATGAGCAAAGTCCAGAAATGCACACACAATTTTTGATTCTCAGAATAAATAGGTGAGAAAACTGGAAGCATCGAAGGAGTTGCTTAGAGCTCCTGACTGCTAAACTGCTGAGATCTGGTGGAGAATGATAGCAACCACGTATCGGCCGCCTCTCTCTGGCTGGCATAATGCAAAATTGTGTTGGGGTGGGTGAGGAAAGAAATGCTAGCAATTTTGACAGTTCAAATGGATTCTTCTTTTCCTTGGATATTTCAAGGGGATCCCTGTGTCCTTCTATAACCCTTACTCCTTCCCTGACAGTCTGTGAGAGGATTACACCTGAGATGGGCAAACCCAGTGATTTAGAGCAGAAGATGGCTGCTGACAGTGTTTGGTGGAGTCATGCTGGTGGTGTTGATACATATGATCACTGAATGCAGAATATCTGCTTGTTGGAGGACTGATTCAATCCATAATGTTTCTGATGGTTACAGCTGAACAGTAAATAGGAACCTTAGGTTTATTTACTGCAGTTATAAAATCTCCTAGACACAGACTGGATTGTAGAGAGCAGCTGGTGGCTCCTTGAATGGAAAGTGTGTTACTCAACTCTTCCTGGCGCTTAAAGTAGTCTGGGTAAGCTCAGTTCCCAGAAGGCACCTATCTGTACCTTTCCAGGGTCCAGCAGATTTTGAAAGTTATATGGAAGTTTGTCTTGTGATTTTCGTTGGCCATACTGGAGGTCTTAAGGCTAGGGCCAGAGCCAAGAAGGGTGAAAATGCTGTTGGAAGGCCTGAGTGAACAGACCCAGCATTAGTTTGTTTGGAGTGCTTGACTGGATTTTATAACTTCTTTAGGAGCAGAGTGAATACTTCCTTGGTTTCATGTGCATGTGATTAGTGAAGTGCTTAGTGTTCAGTGAGGTAAACAGAATAATTGGGGTCTCGAGGAGCAGAAAACATCATCATTCCCTACCAAGCTATGAATGAAAACAGGCTGGAGGATGAGATCTACTAGAACAAAAGTTCTCCTTGACTGCCACAGTGTTGCTGTTAACTTAGATCGTTAACTATTAATTACATTAGAAATTACTAATGGCAAAAACCCTCAGCCTTCACCCTCAGAAACAGTTAAGAAATAGAACTTCTCTACTTCCACATACAAAATCACTCTTGGAGGAAGTTTTTATGCTCTAGTTGTTTGGATTTGCTAGCTTTTTTGCATGTATTTATAAATGATAGTTGTACTGGGCAGAGAATAATCTTGCACTGGGCCTTGTACAGCAATGAATCAAGTGCAGAAAAGCACCTCTGTGCCAAATGTTGAAGTGGGCTACTAATTCATTTGTTTCTCTATTGATAGAAATGTCAGGCAAGAGTAAAGTGTTTTTATTTGCTTTTCTTAGGCAGAGGTAGCAGGCTGTATTGAATTAATCTGAAATTTGGAACAAAATCCTAGCCCTGTAGCAGCTTGGTAGCTGACAAACAATGCAAACACAGAGCATAAAGGAAAAGGGTAAGGAAGAGAACAAACAAGACACTTATGTTTTATACAGGCATGTATGGAAATACTGCCAAGTTACTTTTGCACTTGACCCAATGGATGTGGACAAAGACTTGGGTTCCGGAGTACCAAACAGGAAATGCTGTTTGCAGACCCTCGCTGGGAGGAAATGGAGATAAGGGTTGCATGTTGTAATTGCTTTTTGATTTCTTCGTAGATTGAAAAGCTATTAACACTATTTTTAATGTGATAGTCTAACAGGTTACTGTAAACAAGGCTTTTGTAGCCACTGATATAGAAAATCATATAATTAAACTGATGAGAAATGGGAGAGTTACTGAAATTTTGCTTATCCTGGGTGGGCTGGAAGCAGAACACGTGGAAGATGTTTTTATTCATGGAGCAGACAGGACCAGCATGAATAGGTACAGGGAGTACAGGCTGTCACTCAGCAATTTTTTCACCTTGCAGTTTGAGCTATGTTTCCAAAGGAAGCTGGGTGCCTAAATAGGAGCTGGATGCCTGCCTGTGAAGATGCAACTAATCCCTGTAAATGTCTGTGCTTGAGCTATGTGTTGACCACAGTGAAGCACAGGACTGTGAAGCGATCGTGCAAGTCAGGCAGGTGCTTTACCCACTTCTGCTCTCAACTTGATGTGTATTTTTGGGTAAATTCCTGTGTTTTTTTCTAGATGTTCATTTCTCCACAGATCTGAGATAAGTGTAATGACACTTAGGCTGGGATTTAGCTCATCAGTTTCAGGTGTCTAGAACATTACTTTGTATGTCCCAGTTACTTGCCTAAACTTCCCTTATAGTCAAAGGAGGTCTGATCAATAAGTCGATGGTGTCTGGAGAACAATTCATGTGACTAGAGGGGCAAGTTCATTGTAAGATGAATTCTCTGTTGGTTATAATGGAAATGTAGTCACATAGCTTGCACGTAGACCGGTTTGATGAGCTTTTAAGCTGCCTGGAGGAGAAAAGTACTGTTCACTGTTAGCCATTGGCTTACCAGATTTTTGGTAACTGCAGTTTGTCTTTAAAATTTTGAGAAAATGTTTTTGGGAAGTGGAAGTGTGTTGCCTATCTGGTAGTACCTTGAATTATAATGCTGCAGTTTGGGGTGCAGAGAGCAGGGCTATAAAAGGGCCAAAGGATGGAGAATTTTGGAGGGATGAAGGAGAGAGATCTTTACGTTTATACTCCTGTTGAAAATCATTCATAAATGTGTACAAAATGAAAGTGCTGACAGATGTGTTACCTCAAGTTTGAGACAAGCTGGAGCAGAAAAGATGATCGTGAATTTCAAGAGAAATTGCTAATTTCTAATTGCCGATGCAATGCAATCTGCAATCTTAAAAAGGTTCTGCTTTTACAGTCTTTCCTGAGATATGTTCAGTTTATAAATTCTGGCAGGGAGAAGAAATGTTTTGGCTCTTGATCATGAGACATTTTAAAAAGGAAGGGATGAGGGGAGAGTAAAGAGGGAGGAGGCATGCTCCCTCTTGGTTTAATTTGGCTTGTGAAGCTCCCTTTGATATTACACTGTGAAGTACCATCTGTCAGTGTAAAACACGTGGGTGCTTTCGTGATGTAGAGAGAAGAGATACTTCCTGCAGATAGAAATACTTGGAGAAAAAGGGGAGGGGAAGTCTGTGAAAGAAACAACAAAAATATCCACATCCTTCCCTGCCCTAATCTCTCTGTCACTTCACCCTGGAAATGCAGGGGTTAAATGCAATCCCTTGTATTGTTGATTCTGTCCTCCTGGTTTACTGATCTTGCATTGTCTCTTACCTCTTTTATTTCTAATTCTTCCCCTAGAAAAGCCATCAATTTAATTTTTTGAGAAAGAAACAGTTGTCCAGAGTAACTCTCTGGCTTAGATGGTCAGCTTTGCTGAATTTCACTGATAGATTTTTCTTTTGCATCTGTTGTTATTACTGAAATTTTGCCTGGAGTCCATCTTTGACTTCATATCATGCAAATCTTTTGGGCAGAACAAAGCTACTTGTGCAGACTTATTCACTAAAAATATATACTCTGCACCAACCTTTCTTTCCCAGACATAGAATCATAGAATAGTTTGGGTTGCACTGATAGATTTTTCTTTTGCATCTGTTGTTATTACTGAAATTTTGCCTGGAGTCCATCTTTGACTTCATATCATGCAAATCTTTTGGGCAGAACAAAGCTACTTGTGCAGACTTATTCACTAAAAATATATACTCTGCACCAACCTTTCTTTCCCAGACATAGAATCATAGAATAGTTTGGGTTGGCGGGGACCTCTAAAGGTCATCTAGTCCAACCCCCCCTGCCGTGGGCAGAGAC